TGCATGCATGTGTGTATATATTCATGTGTGGTCATATGTATGTATGTACATGTCTGAGACAATTTCGGATCAATTTTAAAATTTAGGAACTATTTTGTCTGTTTCCTATCTCTACCTTCAATGAATTTACTATCTGCTTTCCTAACTTTTTCATTTCGTCTTCTCTATTATGACTTCAGCCTCTAATTGCTTCATGCTTTCTAGTTTCCTCATAATTGCACATTTATTAACCAGTCACCACTGCCAATTAAATGCTACCCTTTGTAGGAATTATAAATTGCTAAATCTTCTGGCTTCTTCAAGTTCATCAGGCCAATCTATGTTTTACAGTCCATGCTCTGTAATTTCTCATCTACTGTTTCTTTCATTTTGCAGCAACCATTCCAAAGAAGTTCCATAAAACAGGTTTTTTAACATGTACTTCAGACCCAAGTATCTTACTTATAAAAGCATACTAGTTATTCTCTTTATCTGTTCATTACCCAAAATTACAGTATTATTAAATGATAAGTATATCAAATAGATCAGTCAATAGCACAGAACCCAAGGGCTGTTTTTTAAATACATGCAATATGGTGGATATGTCCTAAATGTTGCATTTAATTAAAAATAAATTATATAAATATGGCAATGTCATAATTTAACTATACCTTTAATGTTTTTTGAACAATAACTGGGGTACAAGATTTATCTAGACAAGGTCCATCTCATAAGAGAGGCTTGTACCTTTAGTAAATATTAATGCTCAAGTAACCACTAATTCCTATCTCATCTCTCTCCTATGATTGATAGAATGGGTTCTGGGTACACTTGAGAATATCACATTGAGTCCCCATCCTCAGGCTGAGAAGCTGTTCAAATATTGTGTCATCATTCTAAACTGTCTTCTACTCTGTCATCCTGTCTGCTGGTACTCGTGTCGGCACTAGCAATCTTGGCTTCTATCAGCACCACAGCATTTTTTACCCTTTCTTTATATCTTGACCATTGTATATAGCTTTACTTTCACTTCATGCAAAATTTTAGTCTCTCCTTTCTTTCCCTTTCTCTCATCTTTTATCTGTTTAAGGCCAGTCATCCAAACCTTTCTATTTGTTTGTTGAATAATTACGGTATATGGGTATATGTTTCATTACATCTAACTACTTTGTCCTTCTTTTCTCCTAGAGTTGAAGTCAATGTCAAATTTTCTCTGCTCTCTCTCTCTCTCTCCCTGCCACCGCTTTCCTTCCTTCTGAAACTAGGGTGTTCTATTTTCCTTCTCAATATGAAGGCTGGATGAAGTGTGTGTGTGTGTGTGTGTGTGTGTGTGTGTGTGTGTGTGTGTATAGACCAACGCTTCCAACATTAGCTAATATTTTGAAAATTACAACAGATATTCAGGTAAAATTAGTAATTTATTCAATGAGGTAATGATAACTTAAGAGCTATGCTGTAGAATTACAAAAGGAAAAAAAGCAAGCAGAAATCTGGTGCAAGTAATTTATTTTTCAAATATCAACCTTTAATTAATTTCAGGCTTCAAATGAATGAACTTCTCCAATCTTGAACAAACACAACTCATGTAAATTTTAAATTTATTTTTTTAAATTGTGTTAAAAGTAGAAATATGTAATCACTAACCGTAGCTCTTCCTAAACTGTTTAATGGTATCAGCAACACTGCTCAATAAATATTGTGATGCTTCTTCAGACTTTAACTTGAATAATTATTTTTCAGGCAGTCCTTGATGTTCTTTACTAACTTACTTTATTGCTTGTTTTCAGTTTTAAGTGTGAGAGTCTTAAAAAATTTAGATGGCACCTAATACACAGTAACAATAATATTATTAAAACTAATATTTATATTTTTTCTTTTCTATTACTATAATTATTGTTCCATAAGTTTACAAGCATTATTTATTTCCTTAATATGAGTTAGAAATAAAACAATTAAAAAATCAGACAATGTCAATTTGTAGTTGTTGAAGAGTAATTCCATTACATAGCACAAAAAAATGAATCAGATGTATCTGGGACATTTTGTTGTTGCTTGAAAATACTGCCACAGAGTGACCAAAAAATCTACTTAAACATATCTATATATTTTAGTCTTAGCAAGTAGGAAAAAATAGTGTTCAATATGAGTAAACATGGTAACCCCTTAAGTGAAAAAGGTAATATGCCAAAACCTACAGAATTCATTGGTTTTGGTGGCCACATATTGATATCTGTGCAGAAAGGAGCAGAACAGAGATTGATAATTAGTTAAATAATCATGACTTAACAAAGTACCTAGAAGAAAGCTAACCCCACAGATAAGCTTTAATTCTTTAGGGGAGCCTAGATGACATGTCTAATTATAATCAAACATTAAAAAAAGCAGATCAGGTCAATATATCATAAATATAACACAATGATTCAGTACTATTGTAAATGCAAATAAAAAGCAAATATCATTTATCAAAAAAACATTTATCAGAAATCAAAAATCATTAAAAATGAGATATCATAGTCCCATGATATAAAAGTAAAACTGTATTTAAGAATTATCTAATGACTGGTAGCTAAGTATGGAATTAATTCACAGGATTAGTGCATTTATCAAGAAGCAAAGTTAAAGTAATAATAAGTATGCCCTCCGTACACAAATAACACCTCTCTGTAAAATAATCTATTTGAAATCTAGTCTGGTTAGTAAGAAAACATTTTTTTGAAAAAAGGAGTATTACTATTTTTCTATTGTTTTTTCCCTTTCCTAAAATATTTCTCTGCCCCATCTTCTTTTTTTATTGTTTATTCTATTACAGCTGTCCCTACATCTTTCCCTTTAGCCCCCCTCCACCCAGCTAACCCTTCTCTCTCACAGTCAATCCCTTCTCCATTGTCCATGTCCATGAGTCATTCATACATGTTCTCTGACTAGCCCCTTCTACTTTCTTCCACCATTCTCCACCACTCGCTTCCCCGCCTACAGCTATTAGTCTGTTCCATGTTTCCACATCGCTCGTTCTATTTTTCACGCTAGTACATTTGGTTCATTAAAATCTGGTTATAAGGGAGGTCATACAGTATTTGTCTTTTGCTGACTGGTTTATTTTACTTAACATAATAGTCTCCAGTTCCATCCATGGTGTTCCAAAATGTAAGACTTACTTTTTCTTACTCCTGTATAGTATTCCACTGTGTAAATGTACCACAATTTTTAATCCACTTATCTACTGATGGGCACTTGGGCTGTTTACAACACTTAGGTATTGTAACACTGCTTTGAATGTGGAGTTGCATAAGTTATTTTGAACTGGTGTTTCAGGATTCTTAGGGTATATTCCTAGCAATGGAATTGCTGGGTCATAAGGCAGTTCCATTTTTAATTTTTTGAGGAAATTCCATACTGTTTCCAACAGTAGATGCACTAGTCTGCGTTCTCACCAACAGTGTACTTGGGTTCCCTTTTCTCCACATCCTCACCAGCACTTGTCTCCTGACTTATCAGTGATGGTTCTTCTGACAGTTGTGAGGTGATATCTCATTATGGTTTTAATTTGCATCTTTTTGATGATTAGTGATGCTGAGCATTTTCTCATAAGTCTGTGGACCATCTGTATGTCCTCCTTGGAGAAATATCTTTGCAGGTCCTTTGCCCATTTTTTAGTTGGGCTGTTTGTCTCCTGATGTTATATTATGTGGGTTCTTTGTATATTTTGGAGATTAACCTCTTGTCCAATGTATCATTGGCAAATACGTTGTGCCATACAGTTGGTTAACCTTTTCATTTTGATAATCATTTCTTTAGCCATGCAGAAACTCTTCAATTTAATGTAGTCTCATTTGTTTAATTTTTCCTTTATTTCTTTTGCCCTAGGAGATATATTAGATACATTAGCAAAAATGTTGCTATGTAGGATGTCTGAAATTTTACTGCCTATGTTTTTTGCTAGGACTCTTATGGTATTACAACTTATATTTAAGCCATTTATCCATTTTGAGTTTATTCTGGTGTATGGTATAAGTTGTTGCTCTAGTTTCATATTATTTTTTTTGCATGTACCAGTCCAGTTCTTTTAAAACCATTTATTGAAGAGACTGTTTTTACTCCATTTTATGTTCCTTCCCCCTTTGTCAAATATTAATTGACCATAGAGACATTGGTTTATTCCTAGACTCTCTATACTTTTCCATTAACCTATATATCTGTTCTTATGCCAATACTAGACTGCTTAGTCTACAGCAGCCTTGTAGTATAGTTTGATATCATGTACTGTGATTCCCTCCAGCTTTGTTCTTTTTCTCAAATTTTCTGAGGCTTTTTGTGGTCTTTTTTGGTTCCATATACATTTTTGGAATATTTGTTCTAGATCCGTGAAATATACCATTGGTATTTTAATAAGAATTGCATTGTATCTATAAATTGCTTTGGATAATATGACCATTTTAATGATGTTTCCTTCTAATCCATGAACACAGTACATGCTTCCATTATTTGTATCTTCCTCAATTTCTTTCTTCAGTGTTCTCTAGTTTTCTGAGTACATGTCTTTTGCATCCTTGATTAAATTTATTCTTAGTTATTTTATTTTTCTTTTTGCCATTGTAAATGGGATATTTTTTAGTTTCTTCTTCTGATAATTCATTGTTGGTGTACAAGAGTGCCATCTATTTCTGAATATTGACTTTGTATCTTGGTACTTTGTGGAATTCACTTATTAAGTCAAATAGCATTTGGTGGAGACTATAGGGTTTTCTGTACACTATGATATCATCTGCAAATAATGACAGTTTTACCTCTTCTTTCCCAGTTTCCATTTTATTTATTTTTCTAGTCTAATCACTGTGGCAAGAACTTCCACTACTATGTTGTCTAAGAAGGTGAAAGCAAGAACCCTTGTTTTGTTCCTGAACTTAAGGGAAATATTTTTAGTTTTTGCCCATTGCGTATGATGTTGGCAGTAGGATTCTCATATGTGGCCTTCATAGTGTTGAGGTATGCTTCCTTTATCCCCACTTTTTTTTTTTTGCCCCCAGGGGAGAGCACGAACACTGTCCTCCACTACCACAAGTTATGCAGTCAAATTTCCCACATTTGGGGAAATCACAGAGGTCAGCACACTCAGAGTAGAATGGGTATGCCTCACCCTTGGAAAACCACCTTTGTGATCATATTAAACTCCCTTGCCAGGTAAATATGCTGAGTGTTTTTATTATAAATGGGGGCTGGGTTTTATCAAATGCTTTTTCAGCATCTTTGATGTGATCATGTGATTTTGTCTTTCATTTTCTTTATGTGATATATTACATTTTATGATTTGCTAATGCTATACCATCTTGTATCCCTCAGATAAATCCCACCTGATTTCAGTGTATGATCTGTTTAATATGTTGCTGGGTCCAGATTGCCAATATATTGTTGAGAATTTTAGCATTTATGCTCATCAGAGATGTTGGCCTCTAATTTTCTTTTTGTGTCTTTACCTGGTTTTGGAATTAAGCTAATACTGGTCTTGTAAAAAGAGTTGAAAAATCTTCCCTCTTCTTAATTTTTTGAAATATTGTGAGCAGGATAGGGTTAGTTCTTCATGAATGTTTAGTAAATTTGCTGATGAAGCTTTCCAGTCTGCTGCTGTAGTGTGCAGAGATTTTTTTTTTTTTTTTTTGGGATTACTGCTTCAGTTTCACTAGCTGTTATAGATTTGTTTAGGCTTTCTGTTTTTTCTTGTTTCAGTTTTTGGATAATATATGTGTCCATAAATTTGTCCATTTCACCTAGATTGTCCAGTTTCTTAGCATGTAGTTGTTCATAGTAATTTCTTACAATCCTTTTTATTTCTGTGGTATCAGTTGTTACTTCTCTTTTGTTTCTGACTTTATTTATTAGAGTCTGCTCTCTTTTTTTCTTGTTGAGTCTGGTTAAAGCTTTGTCAATTTAGTTTATCTTTCCAAAGAACCATCTCCAGTATTCACTGATTTTTTTTTTTTTTTGGTCTCTATGTCATTTAATTCTGCTCTGATCTTGATTATTTCCTTCCTTCTACTCCTCCTGTGCTTTATTTGTTGCTGATCCTCTAGTTCTTTCAGATGTAAGGTTAGGTTGTTTACTTGAGATTTTTCTATCTCCTTTAGATAGATTTGTATTGTTATGAACTTCCCTCTCAGGACTGCCTTCACTGTGACCCATAGGTTTTGGGTTGTTGTGGGTTTATTTTCATTTGTTTCCAGATACTTTTTGATTTCTTCCTTGATCTTATTGCTAATCCATTCATTATTTAATAATATGTTATTCAGTCTCTATAGATTTTAATGTTTTTGAGTATTTTCCCTGAGGTTAGATTGTACTTTCAAGCACTGTGATCTGAGAACATGCTTGATATGATTTCAATTTTTTTGAATTTGTGGAGTCTTGTTTTCTTTCCTACCATGTGCTCTAAATTTGAAAATATATGTGTGTCTGAAAAGAATGTATACTTTGCTTCTTTGGAGTGAAATGTTCTGTAAATGCCAAATAAGCCCATTTGATCTACGGGTTTGTTCAGTGCCACAATATCCTTGTTCGTTCTTTGGAAGATCTATCCAATGTTGACAGAATGACTGTATTGTTGATCTTCTTAAAGTCTGCAAGATTTTCCTTATATACCTCTGTGCTCCTTTGTTGGGTGTATGTATGCTTACAAGGGCTGTATGCTCTTTTTGGACAACTCACTTAAGTATTATACAGTGACCTTCTTTTACTATTGTGATGGCTTTTGTTTGGAAGTCTATTTTGTCTGATATAAGTATTGCTACTCTAGCTTTTTTTTTTTTCATGTCCATTTGCGTGAAATTTTTTTTCATCTCTTCAGTTTCAGCCTGTGTAGATCATTTATTTAGATGTGGGTCTCTTGTATAACACATATATGTGGATTGTGTTTACTTATCCACTAACCCTATGCCTTTTCATTGGAGCATTTAATCCATTGACATTTAAGGTTATTATAGATAGGTACTTGTTCCTTGCCGTTTTTCCTTTTGTACCTGTGTTCCTCTCTCTCTCTCTCTTACTTCTTCTTACAGTAGTCCCTTTAGCATCTCTTGCAGTGCTGACTTGGTGGAATGGTACCCTTTTAGTCCTTCTTTGTCTGGGAAGATTTTTATTTTATCTTCTATTTTAAATGAAAGCCTTGCTGTATAGAGTAGTCTTTGTTGCATGTCTTTGTTTTTCATTACTTGAAATATTGTTTGTCAGTCCCTTCGGGTTTGTAATGTTCCTGTTAAGAAATCACCTGAAAGCCTTATTGTAGTGCCCTTGATTGTTACTGTTTCTCATTTGTTGCCTTTAAGATTCTCTTTGTCTTTAAATTTTGCTTTTTTAATTCTATTGTGTGTTGGAGTAGTCCTCTTTAGCTTCATCTTGATTGGGACACTCTGTGCTTCTTGAACTTGTGTGACTTTTTCCCTCGCCAAGTTAAGAAAGGCTTCTGTAATTATTTTTTTTTAACAAGTGTTCTATCCCTTGTTCCTTTTCTTCTCCTTCTGGTATTCCTATGATGTGGATGTTATTATGTTTCATGTTGTCCTCCGGCTCCCTTAAACTATCTTCATTCTTTTCGAGTATTTATTTGTTTTGTTACTCTGGTTCTTTTTTTTTTTTTTCCTACATTGTCTTCCAGCTCTCTGATTCAGTCCTCTGATTCATCTACTCCATTTTTAATTCCTTTTAGTATATTCTTCATTTCAGATATTATATTCTTCATTTCCTCCTGGTTCTTATTCATAGGATCTGTGTCCTTTTTTCAGGCTGCTATAGCTCCCACTAAGTTCCTTGTGACTCCTATAAAGTTCATTGTAGTTCTCACTGAGTTCCTTGAGAATCCTTATAATCTTTATTTTGGACTCTATGTCTGATAGATTGCTTGCCACAATTTCATTTAGCTCTTTTTCTGAGGATTCCTCTTTTCCTTTTGATTGGGGGGTGTTTCTCTGTCTCCTTATTTTAGGTGACTCTTTTTGTTTGTTTCAGTGTCTCAGATTGCTCTGCTTGACCACTTATCTTTATGGCTTGACTTTTTGTGGTAGGAGTTCTGTGGGACTCAGTGGTGCAGTCTCTTTGATCTTCTGATCTAGATTCTCTAGAGATGTCTTTATTCAGTTTGTGTGGGCTCTCCTGTTGTACTTGGTCTTTGATTACTGATGGCTCATTCTTTGGAGACCTCTGCCTTCTGGCTGGCTTACTGAAAGTCACAACCTCCACCACATCTCTATACTGTTGTACAGATGCTGGCAGAACAAATCAAAACAACACAGAAAACTAACCTCATACCAGCAAAAATACCCTGTACCACATCAGCAATACCAACAGCAAATGAACAAAGATTAATATAGGTGGAAAGAGATTATTATAAGATAGGGAAAAAGAGTATGAGATTAGTGAAAGAGAGAGAAATGACTTTGAGAGGGAAGAAGGAAGAGCAATATTAAGAGTAGGTAATAGAATCAAGACAACAATGCAGAAAATAAATTTAAAATGTAAGTAAAAAAGGGAAGGGTGATGACAAAATGGAGTAAAAGACAGGAGTATAATATGAGGTTTGAAATAAAATTATAAAAATATGAACCAATAGGAACAAAACTGAAGGAAAAAACACAATAGTGCCAATAACAATGACAGATGAGCAAAGAAAAAGATGGAAAGACATTAAGAATATTATAAGAAAGAGAAAAAAGGATATGAGATGTCTACATTTAAAAATAAATTTCAGAGCATAGAAGGAGGGAAAATAATAAAAGTAATGAATAGAATCCAGGCTAAGAAAGGGGGAAAAAATGAAATTCTGAACTCAAATAAGCAAGAGCAAGAGAATGGAAAAATAGAGTAAGACAGGGGGAGGGGGAGTAATTTTCTGAGGTTTGAAATAAAAAAATAGTGAACAAATAAGAATAAAATTGAAGAAAAACAGCAATAACTACAATATCCATGGCAAAACAAACAACAATTAATACAGATGGAAAGAAAATAAGAATATTAAGAGAAAGACATAGTAGACATAGTCACAAAGTCTCTACTCTGCGTAGCCCAAAGCTTGCTAGCCTTGCTGGGCTGGGGCCAAGAAATCCCTTTGCAGTGCAGTTTCCTGATCTTCATGTCCAGCTGTATTCAGTGGGAGCAAACTGTGTTTTAAACTTGTTCCTTTCTTGACAGGGCAGCCACACACAGTGTTCCTGACCAGCAAACTTCAGCTCCCCTTTTAAAAAGTCTCTCTGTGGCACACTCACTGAAGGACCAAGTCATTGTCTGGTTTCCCATGCACACCACCTCTCCAAATAGCCAAAAGTCTCTCAAGGTCATGGCTGGCAGCAGGCTGCCTTCGCCTCACCCAGGTACAGCTCCTAATTGTTTTGAGTGATAGAGACCCCTCAACTGTCTCTCTGTCACTCTCACTGGCTGGCATTTGACATTGCAGCTATGGATGTGCTTCTCACTGTGTGTGTGTAACCTGGATCACCCCAACTTTGTAGACCCTCCCAAGTCACTTAGACCCAGGCTTGGGTGTTCCCTGTGCAGGAATGGGGGCCCCAGCCCTGGGAGGGGAGGGAACCACAAAGGGAACCTGCAGTTTCTGACCAGTCTCTCTGCTGCTGCAGGTGCCACTCACAGAGTATTTCCTCTTCAACTTATAAAATCTCCTTACCACCCATTGTGAAGTGTCTTCTGTACTTCGTGGATTCACACTTCATATCAGCTAAGATTCCATTGGTTGTTCAGGTTATTGGAATACCAGCCCAGAATCTCAGCTGGGGCAAGAGCTAGTAGACTCAGCTTCTATCTACTTGGCTGCCTCTACTTTTTCTCTGCTCCACTTTCAGACAACAATTTTGAATAAGTTAAATAGTGAGAAAAATTCTAGATCCCAATATTCGTCATCACTAAAAATTTATTCAATACACGGTTAGTTGTCAAGTTGGTAAAATGTCTAATTATTCCACCATGAATTTCAAACACTTGCCTCTGCTTGCCAAGCCTCCTTTCAAGGCACTTCCACACCTCCAAACCCTGCAGTGCTGGGTGGTTTAGGCAAAGATACTTTTGATCAGATTCATTTGCCATTTTGCCATAACTTACCAATTAAAAAATGAGGTGCAACAAAGTCAAATGAGACTATAAATTTGTAGAAATCACTGTGGTGTGCAATTGAAACAAATGTATTGAAAGATTA